CAAGTCATCGCCATGTCAAGTTTGGTTTTCGCTGGTTACACCTGGCAGCCTGTGTCGCTTATTCCCGCTGCTGGGACTCATCTGACAAAATTCCAGGCTGCTGCAGACTTTCATTCACCCTTGTGTCTGCTTAACAACAACTGTTGCAACCATATGGTTTGTGTTTCAGTTCCCCACCGAAGCACAATAGATTTCTTATCAGTAACTCCTACCGACATCCCCTTAGGTTATTGTCTGCTCTTTGTTGCTCTGCCTTGGTTAAAGGAGTGATACTCTAGCTGAAGTTAACAGCGGTGACTTAGCTCTGGAAGGGGGCTTGGATCTGGGAACCTTAATAGACACACACATCCCCAGTGTTAACGTGTTTCAAGGATATTGAGGGAAGCTCTCCAGGCGAGCGTGAGTCAGTTTTTCCACTGTTTGTGCGTATGATATTTGCAGATCATACAAAAGGCAGGCTTGTAAGATGGGTGGTGTTGATCAGAGCTTGGATGCAGGGTGGTGTTGAATAATGCCTGGTTGAGAACTGCTTAAGGACTAAGTAGCTCTGTCCTCTCTTCTGAGCTCCTCTGCCTCTCTGTCCACAGGCCTGCCATTGTTTTGCTCCATGCCTCAGCTTGACAAGGCTCCAGAAGCCAGCCATTGTATTTAATTACAGTCGCCAGCCCTCTCACAGACTCTTATCCCTGTGTCCCAGATTTCCATGGGTGCTCTCATTAAGCGAGTGTACATTCTGTGTGTGTTTGTTTTCGACTGTTGGGTCTTTTTTTAAATGGCCGTTAGAGACCCTTTAGCCTGCTTTAAATGTAAGCATAGATGTGATTTTTGTGTGTGTGTGTATGCATGCGTGTGGGTGGGTGGGTGGCGCATCTGTTTGTCTATGTGTTTCTAATGAAGGCAGCTTTAATGTGGATGAATAGTTCTGTGGTCACCCTAATAATGCAGGGCTGTAATCAGTCCACATCAAGAGACGCAGAAGAGCGCGCAAAACTGTGAATGTTTTTTTTTTTCTTTTCCCTTCTACCCGTAATGAGAAAAGATGCCGTGTTATGTAAGGCCTGCTCTATTTAAGTTTAATTTGTTTGACATGAGTGTGGTGACTACATGGCCCAGTGGCATGGGCAAAGATGGCTCATAATGACACCAATAAAACGGCAATATGCAAACAAAGGGCAGGCCGTCTCCCTGCCCACAATCTGTTGTCCTTGTCATGTTCATTCAGACTGAATCCTTCACGTCCTTTGGACGAAATTACCTCCTATATATGTAATTTTTTTTTCTGGATATGTCCACACATGTTCTCTTGGATGTATTATTCCTGCCCTCTATTCTCTGTTATATGTATAATTGGATTGAATGCCTGGATTGAAGTGCAAACAGAAGTTTGTGTAATATAGTTGAGTCTAGTGTGGTGCTTTTTCTTTCCATACCACCTGCCGATTTAGTGCAAATATTTTATTTTATTTTTTTCATGGTTGAGCTGCAGCTTGAGTTTTCTCATCTGACGCATAAATCTTTAAAGATGCGGCGATAAGGACACTGATTCCGCTTTCAAGATTAATTTCAGTGATCATTATACAACACTAACTTGTATAACCAAACAGATGCGTTCCCTTTGTATTACCAAAAAAATATGAATGATGAGATATTTGATAACTGAAGCTTAATTGATGATGAAGCGTAGGAGTGTGAATTCAGTGGCCTCACAGTCAGAGGAAAGAAGCTACCCTGATGTCTGGTGGTACATTTTTTTTTTTTTCCGATTTTTATTATTTATTTATTTTATTTTTAATTGCTTGCCAGATGGCGCCAGGATGAACAGGCTATGGCAGGGTATGGTAGCGTCTCTTAGTACCCTTTAGGCTCTGCACATACACGTTACCTCTTTGATATCAGTGATGATAGAGGCTGGTGAGGTTCTGGTCCAGTTAAATCACCTTCTGCTCTGGATAAGATTCCAGTTTGGATGCTTTCTGTAATGAGCCCAAGTAAAGTGAAAGACTGCATCAATCTAGAGCTGATAACTGTGCTCTTTACGTGTGTACACATTGAGCAAGAAGCCAGTCGTGTCCTTTATCACGCTTTTTTATACTTTTGAGTCTGAGAGTATGTTTTAAACCACTACAGTGCCCATGTCTGGCTTATATGAATTGTTATGATCAAGATAAAATGAAAGCTTAATTTGACGCGCATCTTAAAATCTGGCAAATCTTGTAAACTTTGCTGCGCAGTGAGACAGCATCCACCCCCTCTCTCCATCTACGATGCCTGCAGGCAGTGAATCCATCAGCAGCGGGTGTGAGACGGATACAGCTGACTTTGGCATTGATTATCCTTTCCAGGCTTCTGTGTTTGTCAATTAAAATGATCACTTCAGGTCCGAATTTTACCAATAAAATATGATCAAAAGCAAGTTGGAGCTGGACCTTCTTGCTTTGACTTTAGTCCCGTTCTTTGTATCAAAGCACAACTAAACAGGTGATCACATGAGTTCAACTAAATGGGAATCATGAGTCAGATTGAAGATTTCTTTTGATTTCAAATAGTCTCTTGGACAGATATACCACCTGCTGATGACTCTGAAGCTTCAGGGAGGAGTAAAGCTGATGTCTGTAGGCAGTTCATCTGTTTTGTATTTTTATCTTTTGCTTTATTACTCAAACAACACAGTTTTCTTCCCTAAAACTAGATTTGTTGTTCCTCCTTTTATCTCCACCCTTCATTATCCAAAAAGATAATTTTCATTCCCCATATCCCCCTCTGCTCACTCCATAAAACTTTTTTTTTTTTGCTTTTAAAAATAATGAAAACCACTATCTCCCCCCTCTGAGCCACATATTTCCCTCCTTAAATCACATTGACCAATTTACACCAAGAGCTTTAAAGGTCGCCGTCAGTGCGAAAGTGGCATACGACATCTGGGCCTCATAAACGACGCCCCTCGCTATGCTAGGCCTTATTAAGTGTCACCGTTAGCTGATGCAAAGCGAGCTTTATTACTTTGAAGCTTAGCTGTTCCCGACACCTGAAACTCGCTCGGACACGCAGTATGTTTTTTTTTTTTCTCCTGATGGCAGAGATAACAAGCAGGCTTTGGAGGGACTAGATTTTGGTGTAGTGTGATTGTGTCTGTTACCCTTTTCCAGGAAACAGGAACATATAAGGGTGTCAGATTTATTGTGATTGTTCTGAATATAATCTTCTCTTGCACCATCTGCTCTGTTCGCGTAGAGACTGGCAAGTAGACACCTGCACAGAGACAGTATAAAAGGATAGTTGTGTGCGTGGCGGGGGGGGCAGGCATTCTTTTGTTATTTTGCCCACTGTGCAGTGCAGGCACCATGCAAGCGCAGGGTTTGTCTGAAGTGTAGTCACGTGGAGTGTGTTGCTGAGCCAACCCCCTCTGATAATATACTGTACACGGCTTGTTTACACACAAGCACTGAGGTGCTGGTAACTCCTAAGCCTCTTGCCAACGCACACTCTCTCTCTCTCTCTCTCTCTGTTAAGCTGATGATGCTGGGTGGAACAATGTGGGTTAAAAGGATGCACACCTGCATGCCATGAACCTGAACCTGCTTTGAGTGCCATAGCATGGGATTCTAAAGCTCCGTCACTCGTGTGTTTGTGGCTTATTTTCTGGCGTTGGTATGACAAGTAGAACACGCTGCTGGATCACAGACTTCATATATAAGTTACAGGGTGAAGGTCTTTGCTGTGAATGTGTGTTGTTATATCTAATGGAAGCGCTGTGTTTTGTAACACACAAAACATTGAGGCCAGTGAAGGGAGGTTACTTCTGTATAATCCTTGGTCGCTTTGTTTACCATGTACATGCACAAATGATATGACAGGATACATGCTGTTTGTGTGTGTGTGTGTGTGTGTCATTCACTCAAACAGAGACTCCGCCGCACACAGTTATGCAATTTATAAAGTGGTGCTTATTCTTTGTGACAAATAAATAAGGGTGCAGAGCGATCGTCTTGCCTCTTCAGTGCGTCTCCCTTTGATAGCCGAACTGGCCCTCGGTCCACGTTTCTGTATTCCTGCCTCAATGAGCTCGGTGTAGTGGTTCATGAATCTATTATCCACCTGCTGCTGGTTCTGTTTAGAGTAGCACATCAAGCTCGCAGCTGATAACCAATGTGGAAGGAGGATTACCTTCGCCACCTGCAGTCCCAAGTCTGTGGAGTTGGAGTACATCCGACTGCTGGACGAGGCGCCAGTGAAGGAGCTAAATGTTGTGGATAACAGTCACTAAAGCAACCTGCCAACCAGAGATAGCTGGTCAGGAGTGACTGAACTTTCAAAATAAGAATGAAGGGACTTTTTTTTTTTAGAAATGCTACAATAAGACACCAAATGTACTTTGGAATAACTTGATACACCTGATATATGACCTTACTGCTCTTTGGTTTGTCAATTCACCCTTTACTTAGTAATTAACCTCATGTTTACCTGTGTGATATTAAATAAGCTTGTGTGGGGTAGTGGAGTTTCAAAGACCTGTCTTGGTTGGTGAGAATCAGCTTGTTTCTCTTGACTAGTACAGCGTGTACCCTTTATCCTTTTTATATTTTGAAGCACTTAAAAAGAGCACGCAATTTAAAAGGCACAACTCGAGGCCACCTGGAGAAAACCTGCCTTTGAACCCTGCTTGCGATGTAACCCCCTGCTGTCATGTCCAAACAGAGGCAGAGAAACCACGTATTCAGCTGTAAATAAGAATGCTGTAGAGGGGTGGATTCATTTGTGCTCCCTCTGTGTGTGCAAGAGTGTTTGTTCTTTGAAGGCATCTTTCCTGTGGCTGATCTGAAAACACTTGAAACTGAGTGCGTTCCCCCTTCTGGTTGTTTGCACTGGATTGTTTAAGATCTGTGTGAGTGTCTACATGAGATTATGCGTTGATCCCACTCATTGATTATTGCTAGTGTGCCGGAGCTCCATCTGGCAGCGTCCACTAACCTTTTTCTCTTGTTGCTCTTTCCTCTCCACAGCAATAGAGACCCAGAGTACCAGCTCAGAGGAGATAGTGCCAAGCCCGCCCTCGCCTCCCCCTCCACCCCGCGTCTACAAGCCCTGCTTTGTGTGCCAGGATAAGTCCTCAGGGTACCACTATGGTGTCAGCGCCTGTGAGGGTTGCAAGGTGAGACTCCCGGCCTTCCTCTGAATCTGCCAAGCAAGCAAGATATTTGTCAATCTTATTGCTTTCATGTGATTTCCACTGGAAAGAAAAAAGAAAAAAAACTTTTTATAGCTCATATGATAAAAATGATGAATCATGTCATTTTGAGTATTTCACACCCCCTGGTTTTTTTTTTTTCCCTCTTCTTCTGTTGACTTTACATGTCTTTGAATGCATGTTGAGAATTATCACCGACATTATCACTGATCTGTCTAATCAAGAATACAAAAACTCAGGCCTTTACACGTATATGATAAATGTGCCTCTTATCATGAACAAAATGTGAAATTTTGTCATCTAGTCATCTGTTTGTTTTTTTTGTTTTTTTCTTTTTGAGTGTTGCTGCTCCTCGTATCGCCTTCTTGCTGACGTGTCTGCATCGGTTGTCCATTATCAATACAGCCATGTTGCACAGGTGCAGAAGAGGCCTTATAACGCCCATCTGTTCTGTTATCAGTTGATAGCTGCTGTGTGCACGTGTACACGCTCTCCTGTTAGTGTGAGCACACAGACTTCTTTATCTCACGGCTCCCAAGGCAAGGAGCCAGAGTTGTGTAAGCTCAGAGGAGGATAGAGATGAGGACCAGGGATCTGTGGAATCTAATGTAATGTTACTGCCAGGTGCATACCTTATATTTGCACGGTGTGTGCATTCCACAAACCCAACGTGCTGTTAATATTTTCTGTTTACGCTCTGGTCGTCTTCTAGCTACCAAAAAAAGTGAAAGTCTTCGCCTTTAAAACATGCTGTATGTTTGGCACAGGCAGGGTGGTGTACTAGTTGTGACCAATGGCTCCTCGGCCAGTGTGTATTTGTTTCCATACGTGCACGGATAGTAGCCTAATGAAAGGAAACGGGTACTGAAAAAAAGAAAAGTCCACATTAAAGGGCACACACTCAGGCGGGATGTAGAAATGCAGATGCTACCATTCAAAGACTGAGAGGCCTAAGCTGGTTGAGAGCGAGAGAGCAGACTGTGCTCTGGAAAGCATGAAGAAGCAAAAAGAAAAAAGAGGAGAGAGAGAGAAGCTGAGATGGCTGGAGGGGCAGCCGATTAGGGCACAGGGGCCACAGCTGAACTCACTGACACCAAAAGTAAAAGATGGTCAGCGCCCCAGAGCACAGGGGGAAGGGGAAAGTAAGGAAAAGAATGCACAAAGGGAGGAGAGCACAGGAAAGTTGGGAGTGTGATACAAAGTACACCCGGCTTTCCAGCAGGTTAATACTTAGCAGAGTAAATAAATTGGGCCAACAACAGTGCTGCTTATTGTGCTTCTCCATCCACTTGCCAAGGAAAATCCTGGTAGTTTGAGGATTAACAAGTAGCATTTTTAACTGATGGTTTAGCAAAAGACAGCCACCACTTTGGTCAAGATGAAATTTAGTTTTTGCATGTCCTTACATGTGTGATAAGTAGTAATGGAAATATATCTAAGTATGATATTGGCAGAGCTGTGAGTCTTTGTTTCATGTTTACAGCAGAAGATGTGTCTGAATGCACGAGAATGGTGATGTTGTAGTTGCGCTTCTTGATATTTTTACTATCCACCGCTTTTGTAATTATCATGTATGAACTAGAGTATCTGAATATGTATTTATTTTACTGTTTTAACTTTTGGAAGCAAAGGAGGGTCAGAAGTGTCATAACTGTGTGCTGCCTTATCCGAATATGTGAAAACATGTATGAATCCATTTAAATACGTGAATGTCTAAAATATATTTGAAATAATTTCATTTAGAGTCAGCATGTGCATGACATTTTGTGAGTGGTGTCAGATTATAATAGCAAACAGTTTGAACAACAGGATGATTCTTAGCATTACACCAGTAGTGAAATGCACACATGTTGTCGTCAGATTTCCCTGCATCTGTCAGTTTTGCACCTTTACCAGTGTCAGGTGCCAGTTTATTTTCAAGGAGCTGAAAGAGGCTTTGAAAACATCATTTATTGCAAAGATTTCTTTGTTTTCATGGTACAAAGGAAAGGATGTGCTATCTAATTTTTATATTAAACGTCAGGAACTGCTGGATTTCATATTTGGTGCATGCCTAGTTTTCGCCCCCACAGATGTACAGATAATGGTGATGCACAGCTACTTAAGTATGCTGTATTTAGTAAGCTTGTTACCTGCTACAGTTAGTTATACATTCATCATCTTCAGTTAAGGGCCACAGGGGCTGGAGGCTATCCCAGCTGTCATAAGGCAGGTGGCAGGGGTACACCTTGGATGAGTACAGGGGAAACCCGGGCATGTCGAGAGCATGCAAGCTCCAAACCAAAACCAAAAAACACAGTTGATGGGGTTTTTTTTTTTTTTTTCCAGAACCATCATGCTGGGATTTGATGATGCTAACGACCTCAGTGGCTAAGGGATATCCTGTGAAACTATCATTAAGAAGGAATGACCAATTCAGGAATATACAATTTGTTTTGTTTTGTTTTTAATTAGCAAGTTGGGATTTCTAGACATTTAATGCGTTTTAGTTGTCTGTGGCACAGAGAGTGGATATCAGGCTTGGTGCAAAGCTGAGTGGGCGTATCCATTTTTCCCCCTCTGATTGTTGGCATGTAATGAGCTCTGACTTTGATCTCAAAAGATGCGCTGCAACAATGCGGCTATTCCAAGTCTTAATCTGCTTTTAATGTTTTCACTTAACATGTATCCCCATTGTCTCACAGGCAATAATTAAGCAGGGTTATAAGATACATAATGAGGCTAAATCACACCTCATTCTAGTGTGTGTGTGTGTGTGTGTGTGTGTGTGTCTGTGTGACTACTGACTTTGAACACACCTTGTGTCACCTCAGGCAGTTTTATCTGCATTAATCTGAGAGGTTTTTGATATAAATTTTTTTCACATATTCAGATGGCAGTGTTAAGAAACAACTGTAAAATTCACACTACAACATTCTGAAATGTGGATAGTCTTTTTTTAATATTATTATTATTATTTTTATTCCTTAATGAACTGAATCTGTTATTATACACTTCCTTTGGTTGGTTAAAAACTCTAAACGGTGTATTAAGCACATGATGAAGACATCTTTAGTGGTTGGAGTGTTGCTCTTTCTGACTGTAGAGCAGTTGTGTCAGAACCAATATTGCAATCAGCCTTTGAAGGCTTTCATGCACTGGAGATGTAACTGATATTTTAGTCAGTCATGAGATATTCTGCACAAAATAAGTTGTTTCAGATGAAAAGCAGTAACGTACTAGATAGGTTTCACTGTCAGTTTTCGACGGCCTCTCTCCCCCTGCAACACCTCCGTTATATACAAATTCTGCTCTTTCATCTCTTCGCATTCAGGTCATAAAATTTTTATCTAGAAAACCACGAGCAAATTTTGCTTGCATGCCTTCTCAGCTGAATAGGTGTGTTACTGTGAATGGTAGATTATTAACCAGATAGAGAATGCATGAATAATGAGCAGCTCTACTCAGTCAATAATCAGATATATTGAGTAGATACAGGGAGGGAGCCACTGTTAGACTGAGGCAGAGGTGGGGGAGGGAGCAGTTAATTGGGCATTTCTTTGCATTACCAAACAGGCAGGCAATAAAAACATAAACCTCTGTGCTCCATTCAAATAATTTCATTGCCCTAACAGCACAACAATTCATCAGGTTAGTAACATGTTGTCATAATCGCACTAAAACTCCTAAAACCTCATTAGTTCGACAGCCGCTGTCACCTGCTGGTCCCATCCATCTTCACAAACCGCTGCCTTCCTCACTCAGTAGCTGCAGTAATAATTTGAAAAGTTCACCATGCCTTCACCGCATCTCTCACTTCAGAGGAGATGACTTGGCATAGCATACTCAATAATTCAACACTACAGGCGTGAGAATATATACGGTGTCTCATCTGAGACTGGGGTAAGTTGAGGGTTAGCAGCGTCTGCTTTACTGCAGCATGCCAAACTACAAAGGCGTTTCCTGGGGGCTGCAGCGAACGGAGGAAGCAGGAGTGGGGGGGTATCGAGCTCTGCTGCTTGGAGACAGCTCATTCTCTTGTTGTTTAAGTTCTACTGCCTGCATATACTTACTAGAATTGCACTTCTTTTTTGTTTCCCCTGCAGATATTAACATTTAAACATTAAATATGCATGCCCACCCCCTCATGTTTATGTTTTTGTCTTTGAGGCATGCCAGTGCAAAGCAGGCATTCTTTCTTCCTGGTATGCAGTGCAGTGCAAGGGAAGTGGCTATTTCCCCAAAAAAACAACAACAAAAAAACCCCCAACCTCCCCGTGATGAATGTCCCCTATTTGCTGTTTTTCTTTTTGTTAAACAAAGCCTTTATTAGTGTGCGGGCTGTTGCAATAGTTGTTTCGTAATAGGAGCAAGAGCACAGGCCTGCATATACACACGTCCATGATCGCAGTAGGAGGTTGGGAACGCGTTCCTAATCCAGGCGCAGTGTGATATTCGTGTCAGAGAAGATTCCTGTGCTTCCCTGTGAACTCACCAACTCTAGGCACTCCTTACGTCCCACTTAGTAAAGCATTTCTTCACACACGTGCACAGAGTGGAACGTGATCTCAAGCACACAAAGCTCTTAACCAGGTAGACAGCTGGGAATTTAGGAGCACATGACACTCGCAATCACAAATGCACTAGGAACCATTCACTCGTCCTTTTCGTGCCTCCCTCCCTTCTCCCTCCTTTTGCCGCCCTCATCTCCACTGAACTCTGCAGGGTGGCTGACAGGCCTGCTGAGGACTCTTGTCGCCGGGCGGATTAAGCGGTGATACAAAAAGAGGCTTAAGGGCCACAGGAAGCAATGACTCCTAAAAGGAGGAGTTGGAGGGGGGTGGTGGTGGTGGCAGGGACAATCGACTGCCCCACGAGCCAGCAGCAACAGCCAATCAGGAGGTGCTGCAAGCGGGCACCTGAGTCTCTGCATTATCTGCAGGCGGTGGTCAATCCTCTGATGACCCTGGGGTCAGGGTCGGGGCACTATTGGATCAAAGAGGAGATGATACTCGCCCAAACAAAGACTGGAGAATTATCCCTCAGCTTCGGCAGCTATAAATAAGCTACAATCCTTGTTCTTTTTCACTTGATTGTTTGCTCACTGTTCTATTGTGAGATAACAGCTCTTTTCCAGGGTGGCGGCTGGGGGTGAGAGGGGGTTGGAAATATCTGAAAGCAGCAGAAAATGCATTGTTTATTTGCTGGAAGCATTGCAATAAAATGCACATTTTATTTGGAAATTGTGTTTTTCACCCCCTTTTTTTTTTTTTTTTTTTTTTTTTTTTTTTTTTTTCAAATTTTTAAAAAAACCTGACATGTCGCAGCACAGATGTGAGATGCTTACAAAGTCAGGGGAAAAAAGGGTTTGACGAGGTGACCTGAGCACCAAATGGCTTTCTTTTCCAGCCGGAGATGGAGTCCATCATACGTAATCACAAGTATCACCCACACCTGTAAAGTGCCTTGTTGAAACAGATGACAAACGTGACAAACTGCGCACAGTTCCCCTATCAGGAGCCTGAATGACTCTGTGGCGGGAGGACGGGAGATGTAGAAAGAGGCCGGTGATCCGGGAAGGACAAATTGCAGGCTTAGATCCATCAGCCATCTGTCAGCTAGCAAAGCTAATCCCTCTGCGTGGGATGGGCCTCCCTGGCAGCTCCTCTAACCCACTCCACCCCAGCTCCCTCTCGCCCGCCCCAGCTGGTCCCACCCACAAAACATGACCCACCTCATCGCATCAATACTGACACTGACCTGTATTACATTTGTCCAGAGACCTGCTTGCTGAGTACTCACTCAATTGGGCTTAATTTGCATTAACCTCTCTTTATCTTTCTGACATGATAGGGATGTTTAAGCAGTGAAGCTGCACGGGTGAACATTGATTTTTATTGCATGGGCATATTAAGGAATATATAGATTGGGATGCACTACTTTTCAATACATGTGAGATGGTCTGGGTTCTCTTAGGTTGAACTTTGCGTTGAGTTTTGAGGGTTTTTTCCCTTTTTTTGTAATTCATTTTTTTGTAATTCAATTTTTAGGGAGTTAAAAATGATCTTACCACATTCTTGGTGTGCGTGTCGTATAAATCAGATATTTTTTTGCTCGTTCTTGTGCAATCAAAAACTAGTTTGCGGTCCCCAGAAATCTCCCATTTCAGCCTACTGACCAAAAATGAGTTCATTATCCTTTTTTCCCCTCATCTCCCATGGGGCTGGATTACATTTTATTTCTTACACAACACTTTTAGCCTATAGTCAGTCGCTCTCTCTCGCTCTCTCTCGCTCTCTCTCTCTCTCTCTCTCTCTCTCTCTCTCTCTCTCTCTCTCTCTCTAATTATATGCACTTGGCCTGGATCTAGAATTGCTTATTTCTGGATCTCTAAACTAGGCCATGGTTATGTGACACCCAATAACCCTGTGCCTTTTACCCCAAAAGCCTTTGGACTTCCAAACCTCCCGAATCGTTTATTGTTTACGTTTCTCATTTGAGCTTTATCCGAGCAGGTGGGCAGCCTCATAAGTTGGTGACAGTTCACTGACCATTATCTCTGTCGTGATTGCACACAGATTACGCCACTGCTGGACTTGGCTATTGTTTGCCTTTTATTTGCAGATGTTTCTAAGTATTCAGCACGGCCTCTTTTTGCTTCTTATGTCTAAATTGTTTGCTTAATGTGAACTGGACAAAAGGCGAATGCCATAACAAAGGCGCAATTTGGACGAGGAAGCCTAAACACATGTAGTATGCAAAATTGCTTATAATTTTACTACTAACGGCTCCATTTCCTATGGCAGTCATATTTCTACCCATGATTCCACCGACACAACCCTCCCCTTGTCTCTTCAATACCTTACACGTCTGTCTCTCTGTCACGCAGGGCTTCTTTCGGCGAAGCATTCAGAAAAACATGGTGTACACTTGTCACCGGGAGAAGAACTGCATCATCAACAAAGTCACCCGCAACCGCTGCCAGTACTGTCGGTTGCAGAAGTGCCTGGAAGTCGGGATGTCGAAGGAGTGTGAGTAAAGACGTGATCATTTTTACCCAGAGTGCCCTGCCCTCACAGGGCATTTAGGGACGAGCACAGATCTCATCACAGCTCTTTAATCCCGGGGTTTTGACATGATTGTGGCCACTGCAGGAAGTCTTAAGTCGCAGCGTTTGTTGACATTTGCTCCTTTGCTAACATTGCGTAAGAATTCATCCCCATCCTCCAGCACAATCTGACAACACATGTCATAATCTACTCGATAGCTGGAGTCTTATCAAGATGATCAAAAGAAATTAAAGCACAAAGCTGTTCCGATTTTTCCATTTGAAAAGAATATCCACCGTATGTGCGAGCGGCAGAGATGCAGTCGTGATGCAGACTGGCATTAGCAGTCAGGGTGTCTCCAGGCTTGGCAGGCCTCTGTGATGAATATGTTCTCACCTGCCGAGAGTGAAAGAGCAGGCGTCTGCTCCAATCATCGCACCCCCGGGGGCTGTGTGAACACACACATACACGCAGGCAGTCAGACTTGATAAAGTAATTGGGAGAGGTGTGACCACAGAGGCCAGCAGGGTTTTTACCTCAACCAGATCACATGACACACACACACATACTTACTTCCCAGCAGAAAAGAGAGGGAGAGTGCTTGTGTGTAGGAGGGGGATGCTTTTATATTCTGATAAACACTTTTTAATGGTCTGAAACTGGGCATGTGTTGATTTGAAAATCATAATAACAATCACGTGATCAGAAAGTGCAGCACGCCTCCTTCCTGTTTAAACACTCTTGCGTACAGCTTTCCTTGCTCAGTCTCTCTGCACCTCCTGTCTTCCCAGAGCTATTTACCTCGTCTCTCTGCTGCAGAAAGTGCAGGGAGCGCTCCCCACGCCACAGCACTGTGGCTTACAGTAAAAGAAGTTATCCTCTGAGCTCCTTACCTTTGAATGGGGCCATTAATCATGGTTAGAAAGATCACAGCAGCCAGTTCTTTTACACACACACAGGCACCGAGGCACACAACACACAACAGACTGGAGTTGGAGAGCCATCTAGTGGTGACTGTATAGTACTGGATAAGAGAGAAAACAGGCGGGAGGGCTTTTCTGAAGTAGACTCAAGGGAAGGATGTATGATTGTTATAAGTTTATAGTTTTCCAGGCTCCTTTTGTTGAGCTGCTTTTGGTTTTTACTTGAATACTTTTTTTCCGGAGTGTGTTCATGTTCTGCAGGTTTCATATCACACAGTGCTGACTTTGGCCAGTGGAACTGGTCTGGGGTGGCGAGGCGGGAGGGACTGGCCATCTGGGGCCAGCAGGGACTCTCTCTTCGCCTCTGACACAGACACGAGAACGGGCACGCTCATCAAAGTGCACTCTTCACCATAATTCCATGCGCACGTATGCATAAATTATGCGCATACAAGGTGACAAACACAAGCTGGTAGGAATAAAAAGCCTGTAACAGAAATACACTCCGACAGCTTCGCTTGGAACGGGCATACACTCCCCTGTCAAACACACACGCAGAAGGTGGACCCCCCGCTAGTGCCGGGGGACGTCTGGGTGACCTTGTGTCTGCTGGCAGACAGCTCCAGATGACAGTGCCATGCCTGCTGCCAGGTGGCAGTGGCACACAAGACAGAGCCGGGAGGAGCGGGGAGGGCGTTGGCAGCAAGTGGAGGGTTACAAGGGAAACGCCTGTAAAGGCTAGCGCCAGCTTCAACCTGACGGTGTGTGGTTGAAGCGGACAGCTACGAGCAACAGCTGTTCCAAGGGATTGCAAAAGCTGCAACATTGTTCTCTAAATTTTGTGAGAAATATGTACATTCTCAAGCAGAGAAGGGGGGGAAGGGACAAGAAGCAGAAGTTTCAAGTAAAAGGCTGTATTTATAGCAAATCAGTTCCACTTTTTAACTGTTTTTATATAATCACAGTTCACTACCATGTTGTGTTCATGTTGGAGTCCTCTCAACAGTATCCCACCTTTTTCTCCCAAAGTAATCACCCATTCCTCGAGGAAGGTGTTATTCAGCGATAGAAAAAGTAATAAAAGCAAAATAAGATGAAGCGCAGAATGATGGAGAATCGTGCAAAGAGGGGATAACATCAACCAGAGAGGGAGGATAGCGACGAAAGATGAAGGCAGAGAGAGGGAGAGAAGAGTACTGAACCCGGTGTGAGCAAGAATGAAAATCTAGAGTCGAGAGAGCCGAGGGGGGATTCGGGGGAGGAAGGGAGGAGTGAGGCTGGAGGACAGAGAAAGAGAGAAAGAGGGGGGAAAGTTTCATCACTGTCGACGGTGGCTCTGCGCTGCGAGCAGCAGGAGCAGGGGTAACATTGACATTTTTATCTTTCCATTGAATTTAATCTGTGTGATGGACGAGCTGCCAGAGCTTTAATTTTCCTCACACGAATTATCCCTGTCTGCCCACCTCCCTCTGTCTTGTACACAGACACAAACACGCGGGCACAAAAACCCCCCGCATACACACCCGTGGCACCGAAATTGTGTATTAAGTTGCACGTGCGCAGCCGAAATCCACTACGAGAGGGAATGATTGAGTGATGGCTGGGCGTGCACGCGCGCCGACGCAGTATTCTGTGCACGCTGCACACCGGCTCATGTAAATCCTTTTTATGCAACGAGCGTGCAACTGTGGACAATCCATGATTCAAGTCCCTCCATTAGCATTCATATTCTCATAATACATTTTTTAGATTCATGGCTGGAAGTTGAGACACAAACATCAAATGTACATTTGTCTCTACACACATCCACACGCGGATGATGATGATGATGATGATGATAATAATAATAAATACTTTTAAAAAAGAAAAGCAAGGCAAGGCACTATTTCTTTCATTTGCACTCCCCTGCCAGAGGCCTCCTTCTCCCCAAGTTATTGCATGTGGCAATTCGCCATGACAGATCGCCAGTCGTGCCTAATAGTTCTTTAATGACTTCATTAAATTGTGTTGTGCGGCTTATGATTGTGCTGCCGATTTGTCAGCGAGGGTAATGTCTGGGCACTAGGGATGCCCCACTTTTATTTGTGAATTAATTGGACATTGAGTGCGTTGCAGCCCTCCACCCCTCCCCTCATTGCACACAGGACACAGAATCCCAATCAGCTCCACAAACAGGGCTGGCCCAAATATCTTCAGCAGCTTACTACAGTGTTATGCAACCGGCCTCCTAAGATGAGGGCTTGTTAAACAGGGTGTTTCTTCCCTAACTAAGTCATAATTAGCTCATTAAAGTAAATGGAAATGAAAAAAACATTTTGTTTTCCGTGTTTATACCCACATAGTTTATGAAGCGGTCTCATCACAGCATACTCTTCTTCATCGGCCTTTCTTTGCTGCAGCGTTTTCTGCGCAAGTACCAGTGCATGCTGGAAAATAATGCATTACCACGATCGCAGCGGGGTCTTCTTCACTTCTTGTTGTGGTGAGCGGTGCTTAGCAATAACATAATGCCGGATCAGACTTCCAGTCCCCGCCCTCCTCCTTGCCTTCTTGTTCTCCCAGGCAGGGAGGCCTGTCTGTGGGCTGATGAATGAGCAGCAGCACAGAGTAGTGCTCCCCCCCTCTCCTTGGCCCTGGTCCAGGCCCCCTCTGTCAAAAGACACTGATCTCCCATCAGCCCGAGCGCTCTTGCCCTTAATGGTCAAGGTTGGTATTAAGACAAGGAAAATCTGATCTCAGGTTAGTGGCTGGGGGAGGCGGGGACGGGGGTGCAGGTACCTTGAGGGGAGGTAGAGATTGGAGAAGTGATAGAGTTGGAAAGGTGGATGATTTAAAGCATTTTGAAAATGAGAGAGGGCGTGCATTGGCTGAGAATGAGACGCACTGAGAGGATGACTAGGAAAGCGAGAACGTGTTGTATAACCAGGAGAGGGAGAGAGATGCGAGAGGGGGAGAGAGAAAAAGCTGGAAGGTTTTTCTCTCTCTCTCTCCCCGGTATGGTCTCCGCAGCCGAGCCCTTTTAAAACCATTAGAGGCAGGATATTTGTCATATTATGTTATTAGATTAGCTGGGACCTCTAATGAAAGCTGTGGCAATTTGTCAGCCTTATGGATAGCTCCATCCCCCACCACTATTTATCAACTAGCACCCCATCGCACCCAACACACCCCCACCCCAGCCTCAGCGCACACACGTACACACAACATAGTCGAAGCAAAACCGCATCCAAACGTGGATGGGAGAAATGGATCGAGCTCATAATGGGATTCCAATGCTAAACACCCCCCCTAGTGTTTTTTTGTCATTTGGGGTGAGCACACCACTCGCAGCCAGAGCGCCCGAAGGGAAACGACAGAGGATTATTTCATGGGTTTTTTTTGTTTTGTTTTTTTCCCCTTCTCTCCCTCTCCATTACCATAGCCCATCCTGGATGGAGCTGTCTCACAACATTTATCTTACAGTATCGGATAAGAAAAGATGTGTTTGCTGCCGCTGTTTGCTGCACACTGAGGATCGGTTCCTGCTTATAACTCGCCTCAGTTTTACCTCGATCTGCAGTCAGGAGTTACTGATAAAGGAATGCGTGCAGACTGTAATTAGCTCCATGAACTGTACGCTACACTTGAAATAGCTCTGAAATGCTGCTGCATGAACGGCCGTGTTTGAAGAGAAAAAGAATACAAGATTAAATGTAAAGTTTGCCAAGACTTTGTGTTTTGTCGAAAGGGTTCGAGATGCATACTAATCTCTCTGTCCCTTCCGTCCCTTTAGCGGTGAGGAACGACCGGAACAAGAAGAAAAAGGATGAGAAGAAGCAGGAGTGCACAGAGAGCTACGTACTGAGTCCTGACACGGAGCAGATGATCGACAGGGTTCGCAAGGCACACCAGGATACTTTCCCCTCCCTCTGCCAGCTGGGCAAATACACTACGGTCAGTGGCATGAGACTGACAGTCTGTGTGTCCTTATGTTCATTCACCTTTTTCAAGTGTGAGAGTTTTGTTTTTTTATTTGCCTTTGAAATAAAATTGATCTGCAAATATTTTCTTCCTTTATTCGTACAGACTAACAGCTCAGAACGACGTGTGTCCTTGGACGTAGACCTGTGGGACAAGTTCAGTGAGCTGTCCACTAAGTGCATCATCAAGACAGTGGAGTTTGCCAAGCAGCTGCCCGGCTTCACGACGCTCACCATCGCCGACCAGATCACTCTGCTCAAAGCTGCCTGTCTGGACATCCTGGTACGAATAACGCACACACAAAAAACATCTACCTTGGATGTTTTCAATGAATAAAACTGGAAGTTCGGTTTGAATTTTCTTCACAAACCGAGCCTGTCTGCTGTCCACAGATACTGCGGATCTGCACACGCTACACACCAGAGCAAGACACGATGACTTTCTCAGATGGACTTACGCTAAACCGAAACCAGATGCACAACGCTGGCTTCGGTCCGCTCACTGATCTGGTTTTTGCCTTCGCCAACCAGCTCCTTCCTCTGGAGATGGATGATGCAGAGACGGGGCTGCTTAGTGCCATCTGTTTGCTGTGTGGAGGTACGGCAGGTCTTTAGAAAAAGGCCCTTAAAGCTTGCTTGGGTCATGTTTGTGTCAGAAACAGCAGCGGGGTAGCAATGCTGCACTCTTTTCCTTAGCACCATCTAGTGGCCACTGTGGTTCTAACAGTCGGAGAGTATTGGCTGACCCTTTTCTCTGTGCTTTTTTGTTTGTTTGTTTTGTTTACAGATCGACAGGACTTGGAAGAGGCAGACAAGGTGGACATCCTGCAGGAACCCCTTCTGGAGGCGCTGAAGATTTATGTAAGGAAGAGGAGGCCCCACAAACCGCACATGTTCCCCAAGATGCTGATGAAGATCACTGATCTTAGAAGCATCAGTGCTAAAGGTCTGTAGTTCCCTTGTGTTTCTACATATATAGTGCTACAGTGATTAGTTACTCAAGTGTACGATTGATCATTTCTACTTTTTCTTTTGTATATTCCATTTTAGAATGAATGAATGAGTATGTTTTACCAGAACTTACACTGATAGCTTACATTTTTCCATCTTGCAGGAGCTGAGCGTGTCATCACGCTGAAGATGGAGATCCCCGGCTCCATGCCACCTCTCATCCAGGAGATGCTGGAGAACTCAGAAGGTCTGGAAAGCGGAGCCGCAGGCGGACGACCCAGCGGCGCCCCCCCAGGCAGCTGCAGCCCCAGCCTGTCCCCCAGCTCTGCCCAAAGCAGTCCAGCTACACAATCGCCGTAGTCACGGCCCACGTTTTCATTTTCATTTTTTCTTTGTGTTGCGCTCTGTCTCCTCCATTAATGTTCTGAAGAGGAGGGGTGAAGGAGGTGGGTCTTCTTGACCCCTAACTGCTGAACACAGGAGACCAGCAGAGCCAACCACCTCCTCTCCGACAACAAAAATCCCCATCTCCTGATCCGCTTTCCCCTCTCTCTGGATTTCTATCCAGACATGAGGGGAGATGAGGCTGGAGCAGGCCGGGATAACCGGAAGCCTCCAACATACCACACCGTAAATACTGCTGATGACTCTTCCTCCTTCTCCCTCCCTTCTCCACCTTTTTTTTCTTTTCTTTTTTCTTTTTGAAAAGACTAACGGAGATGAGGTGTGGATGAACCCGAGAGCGGTTGGAGCACAATGGAACAAATATAAAGACGAGAACAATGAACACAGACTGACTTGACAAACACCAGACACTTTTGTTGTTTTTTTTTCTTTTCTTTTCTTTTCATTGTTGTTGTTGTTGTGCTCTGAGGCCGACTACAACTGAACTTTTGGGACTTGTCAAAAGAACCCACTCCTCAAAGACTCTGGGTCTTTTCCTCTTTTCCAGTTTCATGAAAAAAATAACAGATTTCGTACAAAAAAAAAAGATATATAAATATATAGAGAAAAATTAAGGACCTATTGCGATCGACATGTCCAGAACAGGATGGCAGGTTGAAATGAGGACATGTTTTCTGAGCTGAGATTAGAAATTGTTGTACTCCTTCACTGTTTGAATCTTTTTCATACCCATCGAGTATTGAGAAAAATGCTTCGGTTTCACATTTGTATATTCTAATTGATGGGGGGAAGAAAAAATAAAAGATTATTTTTTTTCCCTTTCCAGTCTACACAAGCAAACACACACAAATGTGCACAGAAAACAAGTCGCAATGATTATCACCTACTATTCCAGGTCGGATTTGTTTTCCCTTTTTTTTTTTTTTTTTTTTTTTTTTTTTTTTTTTTTTTTTACTTCCAAGAGATTGGGGGGGAAATGATTGTATGAACTCAGTTGTATGATATGGTCACAGGTCCTTTCAAGAAATCAAATTAATGAAGATTCATTATTAAGGTGTATTTTAAGTAGCCTTTTGAGTTTGTGTATATAAGCTGTATTCATTTCTTTAAAACTATGAAGAGTTTTAGGGTTCACCTGATCGATTTTTTTTTTAAAGAATACCGTTTTATGTGTTTTTAGGTTTGTGATTCAAGAAAAGACGTTTTGAGCACATTTTACTGAAGGAAGTTCTTTCATGTTTCGTGTCCTACTTTAAAAAACAAAACAAAAACATGGCAGACCCATCACAAATCACTGGCTCTAAAGGTTTTGGCTTCACGAACAGTTTTGCCCCCCCGACCCCACTTTTCTTTCTTTTTTTATGTACAGTAGGTAAGAAAGTAGCACTCCTGTCGGGGCATAGCTTTTTTTGTGTGTTTGGCCATGTAGCAGAAAGAGAAGGCGGCGTTTGAGGAAATGGTTTAGACGCCTTCTGTGGCCTGACGGGCTCAAACAAGCGGTGGCGGCTCTGCTTCAAAGAGAGTTGAAATGTGAACAATGGTGTACATACACTCTGTATTAAACACAAGTAAATCTCAGTGCTCTCTCTCTCTCTCAGTGCATCAATTTGTAGTCAATAGGAGAAGACTAGACTCCCTCCTCCACCTCTGCCCTGTCAGCGATCAGGCAAGGCGAGGTCCCAAATGTGATGTTTGTCAGCTAACTCCCCGCCCCTCACCTCCACCTTGGCAACCTGTGGTAGAAACAATATGTGACTTAACTGAATCCAGAGCAACCTCGTGCCCTGTGACACCAAAAACGCCTTCACCATTGCTACACGTCACCCAGACCATCATTACTGTACGCGCACCAATGTCTCAGGAAGGAATCATTTTTGTGTGCTTGGCCTGTCATTTGTATATGTTCTGTGCTGCAACCCCCTCCCTCTCCGGTAACAGATGCACATACACACACACACACCTCTGCTACTGAGCCCTTCAGATTTTTCTTCACTCGCTTTTGTTTGGCCTGGCAAAACCAGGACTTGTGCCGAGAGACACTGACCCCTGACCGCTCCTTTTTCCAACATCCGTAGGATGCCAGTGTGGACTCTCTCACAGAGTCGTTCACATGTCCTCTTTTCCTTTTTTTTTTTTTTTTTTTTT